GATTAACATTTTGCAAAGGTGTCCTCCTTTTTCTGCCACCATCGCGGTCTCCAGCTAGATGAAACCACCTTTTAATAACTTTTTCGACCTCCAGCTCAGATGTACTGTATATGCGCACACAGGATTTCTTCTTACAGCCTCTAGAATAGGAGCATACAAATACAGTTAAAAAAAATACTTTTAAAATAAAATATACAATAGAGACATAAAGCATTAATGTATTTTGTATTACAAGACACCATCCACTGGTCAAAGAATTAAAACTTTCAAAATTCATGAGGGAATAGTCATGAAGTTCCAGATAGACTTAGACAATAAAAATACACTTACCAATCACTATGTTTTTAAGCTGCAAGCTTTGGAAACGTGTCTTTCCATATACACCTCTCCAGTTGATCACTTTGGCAAAGTCATTTTTTATTGCTTGCCTCATAATCCGCCAGACCGTGTCCTTAACATCCACTCCACCCAGCAATCCCAGTTCAAGTACCTGAAATATTTTTTAAACATGACATTACTATTACGGTAAGTCAAAACAAAACTTCTTTTTTGTAAAAGCGATTTTACATTTTCCACATTTAACAAATATGTTTTTGTTGTTGTTAGACGTTTCATGTTTTAGATTAATCACACACCATTTAATTATAACAGTAATTACAACCAGAATTTGTAAGTGATAACACTATGCAACTGTGCGTTACTGACAGTGTTACCTACCACTTTTTGTCTCGTTACTGGACAGGATCGAAGATCACTTTCCAGGGAAGTTAACGACCTCCAATTAAGTCTTCAATTGGAAACCACTTTGGACCTTGGTTCTGTGCCTCTGTGATCTCCCGAATATTGTTTGCTTTGAGGTCTTGCACTATCCTTATAATGTTCCTCTGCTGCTCCATAAGAGTTTCTTGCTTCGATATTACGTCATGTAGAAGTGCTAAAACATTAGGTATTGAAAGGTTTACCACACCACCACTGCTATGAGCCTTATGCTAACAGTGAATATATGATAGAAAAAACAAAAAGAAATCTTACATCTTATTAAGTCTGGTGAAGTGGTAGAGATGGTTCAGGCAAGTCAATTGCTTGGCCCAAGAGTTATTTCATGCCTTTCTTGAAGTTTCTTTGAACTGTGTTACATCTGGAGACTTTTGGTGCCATACAGAGGGGTGGTTTTGTCTTTGAGGACTTGGTTGTAGCTCATAAGAAGCCGAACAAATAATGTTGGATAGTGGATGTATTTGTGGGGCTTGTGGCATTTATATTTATTTAAAAAAGTACGTTATCAACTTCCCTTAAGACCGTATTAAAAACCCAAAAGATAAAACCAAGATAGCGTGTGCGTGATTGTCACAGTTAGAACGACAATTCGAATTTCACCGCAGCGTCACCGGCGTGGTAGGCGTGATCTCACGGGATGCTCTCTGGGAAAAGTAGTCCTTTATTTAAAGCGTTTTTAACACTATATATGTAAATAAACTACTATATCCATGATGCATTGCAAACTGCGTCATCGTATCACAAACCACAGACTCCGCTAAAGATACGCAAGTTTCCTGGTTTTTAAAAAACACAACCTTGTTTTATTTCTTAACCGATTTCAATGGTTTACGTGGAGAACATAAACGTTTCTTCTCCAAATACTTATAATCTGTAATTTATAGGCTATAGAGTGCCGAAGTTACAACGTCACTCTGTAGGCCAAAACGCGGAAGTGAGTTAGCATTTTAGCACTTCCGGTTCCCTCGCTCTAAAGTCTATGGGATTTTTGAATGGGTTTTTGCTAAATCGCCTGAAATAAGGTCTGTGGTGAACAAAGCCTCTAAATATTTTCACGTTTTGATGACATAGAACACACAGTTATAACCTGCTTGTGGTTTTTTAAACTTATTGTGTCTGATTGTGTTTTTTAAAATCTTTATATAGGCTTCAAAATGTATTTTGGATTAATTTGTAAAGATTATCTTGCTAGACAAAACGTATACGGTTCACAACTCTTTGTTAAAGACAGATCATATTTTTTGCGATTTTCCAAAAGTCTATGGGGAAAATGCATTGGTTGACCAAGGGAACCAATGCGCCCCTAGCTTCTGAGTTGTCCTACAAAGTGACGTCATCACTTCGGCACTCTATTCTATGGAGATTATATAGATTATTAATGGGCTATATGCACGCATAAATTACGCATTTGACGCAAGGATGCTCGTCCATTTCCGCTTGTTGAGATTAAAGCGGAGGGAAACCGAGGAAAACGGGATTATGGCAGAGTCTTCAAAATGTACTGTCCTCCAGTCTTTGAAATGAAACGTACATACGTTTAGATGTAATTTTATATATAGTTATATTTATTTAATATAATTTTAAAAAGAAGCATAAACACAACGCGGGGTGTCTGTTTTATCTGTTTTTGTGACTAACGTTTCTTTAGTATAACCATGGAGTATAAAATTCAATATAAATTCTCGGTATTGCATTGGACTCTACGATCGGCGGAAGTTATCGAGCATCCCTAATGCTTCACCGGAAATACCGCCGTGCATAGAGCCCATTGTTAAGGAATTGTGAAAACTCTTGTCAGTCATTGATGGTATTTGCTTCAAAACCCATAATCGTGGGGGTTTGTAGTAAAACTGTCGTTATACTAATGGTAATCAAATCGGCATTTTTTTTTTTTTGTGGCAAACTGAATTATTGATTACTTAATTATTGATTATTATCAATTGAATTATTGATTACTTATTCAGTCCAATTCAATCTTTTTTATTTTATTTATTTATTATTATTCTTTGATACTGCAGTTACAGAATAACAGAATAATCAAGTCTTCTTTCCTTTAAAACCCACCACCTTATGTGTAAAAGTGTACTATTTAAATGATTATTTATAGGTATTTTTTAACTACGAATAACAAAAATATTTAATTTTATATTTATCATATTATGACAAAATTAACCTTAATGATGTATAAAATATAAACCCATTAACACCACATTGTACACAGCTATTTTACCATAGAGCACATTCATGAAGATCTTAAATTTACTCTTCATCTAACCAAAACCCAACCAGATCTCAGCCAAATATTTTCTTTTTCTGGCAGACCGAACTCAAACCAGGCCTCAGCCAACAGATACAATTTGATTTTTGTTTCTTTTGGTTTGCCAGACTCCAGCCAGAGCTTAGCCAAGTACTGTTTGACAAACGAGTGTGAAAAAAACAGAATTAAGCCAGAAGTGGCTAATGTAAGCCAGACTCGGCCCAGACTTTGTTGCTATCTGGGTTGCATAGGTTTGAGATCGCTATTACGATTGCGATATGATTAATCGTGCAGCACTAATGCTTAGTGTATTCTATATGCAACAGTTTTTTGAGCCTTTTCTTTTAACAGTTTTAAATTTCAGTGCGCATGAAAAACAATAGCACTCTCTCGACTCCATGCTGTAATCTTACATAGTACACCCGGGAGAAGGGAATGTGATTTAGAAAGGGCAATAAACTCCACTCCAGCAAGATAAAGTCATTTTATGAAAACCATAGACCTTTATGCTTTATCTACAAATAAAAGTATAATAATGGAAATATTGACCTTGAAGAGAGTGTCGTCGTAGACATGTAGACGTTTCACGAGTTTATTCGACTATTCCTTTTCTTCATTGTTGGCCTGAAACGAGACTTCCTTAGATTTCCACGACGCATGCGCGAGAACTGAACTGAAGTAGTTGAAGGAGATCGCAATTCTCGCGCATGCGTCGTGGAAATTTAAGGAAGTCTCGTTTCAGGCCAACAAGGAAGAAAAGGAATAGTCGAATAAAGTCGATATTTTTGTTTGTTTTTTCGCACAAAAAGTATTCTCGTCGCTTGATAAACATATAGTTGAGCCACTGTAGTCACATGGAATATTTAAACATTTTCTTCATTGACTTTCTGGGCCGTCAAGAGGCAGTCCCTTAGGCAGCCTATGTGGTGGTTATACAGCTCTCAAATTTAATCAAAAATATCTTCATTTGTGTTCCGAAGACGAACGAAGGTCTTACGGGGTTGGTACAGCATGGGGGTGAGTAATTAATGACTTAATTTTCATTTTTGGGTGAACTAACCCTTTAAGAATTATCTTCTATCTGTGAATTACTGGAACGTCTGTCTGTATGTGTGTGTCTGTTATTCGCACATCTCTCGAACCGCTAGTCCGATGGGTTTCAAACTTGACAGGTGTCTTCTTGCTACGGGCACGAGTCATTGCAGTGCCCAGTTTGATGTTGTTTGGATTAGAAATGGAAAAGACATCATTAAATATATCGGTAAAAGAAGCACTTAGAAGGTTGTGGTTTAAAAATAAACATTCGGACAGCTAAACATTAAGTCAGCAACACTTGTTACTTCTGAATATTATATTTTATTCGTGGCCATCAAATGTAGTAGCATATTCACAAACTGTTTGCTCAGGCGTAGTGTTTTCTTGGAGTTCACTGTGTAGCTGCTCCCTGAATCATGTAGCTCAATTTTTCACATTTATTGAATGTCATTATGTCAGTATCAGTATTTGCTTTCAATCATGCACAAATGAAAATAGCTCTGAACTTTTGCTGTGTAATTTGTAACAATGAGCACTCAAACGAAAACTGATTTTGTACGGACACTTTGCACTAGTTTATTAAATTCTTATTTGGTAATTAATAATTCTGGATGTAGACAGCATAAGATAAAACTGAAATAGACACCTAACCCCAGCTGCTCCCGATGAGCTGGATGGCGTCTTGCATGGCTGACACCACCGTCGGTGTATGAATGAGTGAGTGAATGGGTGAATGTGAGGCTATATGTAAGGCAGGGGCCATTGGGTCTGTGAAAGCGCAATATAAATGCAGTCCACTTACAATCAAAGCCTTGAAACATCAGTTGTAAAGTGCATGTAAAGATCATTTGTTTTCTTCTTGAAGTTCCCTCACTCTTTAGTAAGGAGATTTGAGGTTCAGAGTCAACTAACCTTTTGTCACTCTCTTCTTTTAGGCTGGGTATTCCAAACCTTTGTGTCAAGAGGCTTGTATAATGCATAAGGTGGAACATAGCGACCATGTCGTAAAGTTATATGACTGGTTTGAAATGAAAGATCACGACATGGAATATCCACATACCAGCATAACCTTGTTTGATTTCATCAAACAAAACAGAGGTCGTCTGACTGAAGCAAAAGCTAAAGACATCATGCAGAAAGTCATCGCTGTGATAGAGCACTGCATGGATCAGGGTGTTTATCATAATGACATAAGCCTGAGAAACATACTCAACATCCCATACACCATGAAGATCAAGTTAACAGGCTTTGGCAGAGCACTGCACATCAAAAAAAGTTGTGAGTTTGCTTTTTGAGCACAATTCCCTTATTATGCACAGGATATGGAAATGAAAACTTAAACTGAAAACTTTGCTTACAGGAAGAGACAAATCTACATCAATGATAGAGAGGAGATGTCGCGCTGTAATAGCAGCAACTGAAGACTTATACAGAGTGCTGAAGGGGATGGTCAAAGGAAAAAGTGGTTTGAATTTGAAACCTTTGTTTGGTAGGAAAAAAGCAGACTTGTCCAAAGGTGAGACTAAAAACAAGAACGAAATGGAAATAGCATTGCTTGAAAGCGCGTAAAGCTCTTACACAAGTGACAGTAAAATTACCTTGATGACAAATAAGCAAAGTATAAAACAGAGCGGATTGACAATGAATTTTTAGCAATGAATCATGGGCATCCAGTAGTAACGCCGGTTTCACACTGCACGTGTTAGCAGTAAAAAAATACGCTCTGCTAACGTGTGCAGTTTGAAACAGGCGTAACAGCAACAAATGCAGTGTATTTGATGGTAACATTACCTTACATAAATAAAACAGGACTAATCAGCTCTCTTCTGAAAACTTTTCCAGAATGCCTGGATCTACTTCAGAGACTTCGTGACAGAGAGTCAGGGATCATCTTACAGATGACTGGTTTAAAGAAGTCCGAGTCGTCAGACAGTGAGTCTCTAGTTATTACCACTCTGATTCATGTACATTCAGCCTGATGTTTCTGGTGTTAGTTTTAATTTTTCCTTTTTTCCTAAGGAATGGATCAGTTCTCAATCATCGACCAGCGCTACAGATGAACATGCGCAGAACAACCCGAGAGGTAACATTAATACAAATCAATACTCACATCATGTTTGCACGGTATCACAATATTTGATTGTGGACGATTTAAATGTCTCCACGATCTGCTTTTGAAGAAATGTTGTATCATGTTACAGCGCACATTCAATCAGTTGCAGTTCTTATTGTACATTCATATCACATGGCAAGGCAGAGGTAGATTTGCACTCATGGGACACTGCAATTCACAAAAGTTCGTTAATTGCATGTGATTGAAAGCCTTGGTGGTTAAACATTTCATTTGTATACACCCGAATCAGGACTAGTCACGTGTGTTATGCTATTGTTTGAATTTAAACAAGTACAAACTTTTTTAAACATCTTTAGAAAATGTATCTATGATGCATTTCAAATAATATGACATTGAAATCCTTGTGGGAATTTCAGTAGTACAAACGTATAATGTATGATCAGCCTTTTAACTATCCTGCAAACAAGTAAAAGTGAACAACATTAATTTTAGGTATGGTTAATGCAATGCTTAATAATAGTTGACAAGCATGGCATCCAAACTCTTGCAAAGTGTGTCCTTGTGTGCCTGACCGAGAGCTAGTGCTGGGCGGTATACTGGATCATACTGAAAACCGGTGTATATTTTTGTTATGATATAAATTTTTAATATACCGCCATTCCGAACGAACGTTACGCTGCGCCGCTCGATACTGTTTCAGACGGTCCCTTTTAGGGCTGGGTATTGAGACAAATTTCACAATTCGATTCGATTTTGATTCACAAGCTTGCAATTCGATTACGATTCTATTCGATTCAATATCGATAATTTTGGATATCAGTTACAATAAATGGCCATTTTTCTCAAGGGAATCAAATCTCTTAAATGCTGTAAACTATGGGAGTCTAGTTGTATCCTATAGACTTCTTTAGCCTACTATGAAGGTAATAATTAACTGTTTTGTAGCTATACAAACACTTACATTACACTTTTATTTCTTAAGTTTATCAAGCTGGCCTGGCCATATATTTGGAGAAGATAATTATAGAAAACATCCACAAATGCTGCTATCCATATCTCGACTTCAGTGTGACGAATCTTGGTGTAAAGGTAATACATGGAAACACACACACGCAATAAATAATATTCCTCATTCCACTACAGTAAAAGAGGCTCCACTGCCCTTGAAAGCATCTAAACAAGCATTCTGTTAGAATAAACACTTCTGATGTCTCATGGCAAACATTCCTGTCAAGGCAAGAGTGAAAATGTGATGTTAATGTGATTTAAAGTACATAAGGCTGTGAAAATCGTGCTCATTTACATAGACTTGTTTTTTTTTTTTTTTTTTTAAACTTGTTTATAGATGTTTAAAAATAGCTATTGAACTATTAGATGTTTAAAAATAGCTATTGAACTATTACTGTGGGGTGTTTATGAGCTGTTAATGAAAATCTCATAATGAAATCATAAAATGTCAAATTAAAATAAATCCGTTTTTAAAATCTAAACAATCAAATTAAAGCACTGGGATAGTTTGTCATGTGACCATTAGCCGACATCAGAGAACCACGAACTAGGGCTGTCACTTTTGTCAAAAAATCTAGATCGATTTTTGAGACATAAGTGTTTATTGAATCGATTGTAAAATCGATTTTCCATGTTTAAACACGTTTCCATTTTAGCCAAATATAGGCAAATCCACGGACACCGCATGAGGGCGAAAGTAGGCCGATAGAGGGCGCTTAAGGCGCGCACTGGAATATTTCTGATTTTTTATTGACATGAAGCTTCGTGCACAATGACACACAGGAGTGTAACATTCTCGAGAGAAAAAAAAGCAAAAAAAAGCAGAGTGGACTGCCATAACATCAATGAAAAACATTAGGATTCAACATGGCTCTGTTTACGATTAGAGTTAGCCTACTACTTAAATGTCAAACAAATTTTGCCAACATAGGCGATTGTAGCCTGAATCTGTATCTGTATGCATGAGACTTTCTGAATACCGGCAGAATTCACATTTTTCACTATGCATAATGGCGTAACTTTGTTATAAAAAGTGGGTGGGACATGTGTATAAATGAATGAATCACGTGACACGTGAATAAAACATAGATCCGACTTTACAAGGCCTACAGAAAGTCCTGTAAAATTAAACGAATAAAGTGACCTAATAATATAAATAAAAATTATATAAACAAAAATATACATAAAAGTAAATTAACTAGGCTATTAGGCCAGAATTTTGATAACTGATTTTTTGCTGAACGCGCACGATTAAAATTTAAATTGGCTTATAGCCTATCCATTGTACACACAAACTGTTGTACAATTAAAGGAATAAATGGGCCTAATAATATAAATAAAGATAAAAAAAATAAGTGTAGCCTATAAACAAAAATGTAAAAAATAAAAAATAAAGGCCTACATAAACATTTTAAAAGTAAATTTAAAAAGTAAATTAACTATTAGGCCAACATTTTGATAACTAAACGTTTGCACAGCGCGCACAAATAGCCTAATAAAATTATGCTCATCAATTGTAGGCCTACAAAAAATGCTGTAAAATTAAACGAATCAATGGGCTTTATTATAAATAAAAATATACAGGCTAGGCCTACTGTAGGCTACATCAACGTTTTAAAAGTATGCTAAATGAACTATTAGGCCAAAATTCGTATAACTGAACTAGTGCACATTACAATTTAAATGGGTTACATTGTCAAACTTTTAAGAAAGAAAGAAAGAAAGAAAGAAAGAAAGAAAGAAAGAAAGAAAGAAAAAGTTCACCTTCAAGAACACACGTTTGGACAATGTCTGAGGCTTCAGAGACTCATGCGGTTGTTGCGGAGAAAACCCTCTCTGCCCTTGCAGACCCGCTTGGGATGCTGAACACAATGCGAGCTAGGCGGGGAAAAGACGTGGAGTCAGACTCGTGGTGTGAGCGGAGCGAAATTGGAGCGGGAAATAGGGCGACGCTCCGTCCTTTAAAAAATGCCCCTCTGCGCTCTGTCCAAGATCCGCCCGCTCGAGCTCCCCGCTCGCTCCCGCTCCACTCCGCCCACTCACATGCTCTGCACCCAGTGTTGGGCAGTAACGCGTTACTAGTAACGCGTTACTGTAACTCAGTTACTTTTGACAGTAACTAATACTGTAACACATTACTTTTAAAATAAATTTACTCCGTTACCGTTACCATATGGTGCGTTGTCCGTTACTTTTTAAATTAATTAATTTTGGCTGAGGTAGCCTACAGCCTAACCTGTTTACAGTAGCGACGCATTGTAGGATTGGTGGATGCTTGCTGAAGCACGCAGACGCACTGTGGGCGTGTTTCCGTTTATTCAAGTATGCGCGGCAGTCATGGCGAGTCAAGACGAGAGCAAGACGAGTTTTTCAAAGTGGAAATATGCTCATTATTTCACTTTAGTTGAACATAAAGACAAAAATATTTTAGTGAAATGTAAGCTCTGTCTTTCTGGTTCGAATGTCCTATCTACTGCTAAAAACAGCAACTCCAATCTGTCGAAGCACCTCCAGAAACGACATGCCTCGACAAAGCTAGAAGCTAACCAGGTGTCAGTGGACACACTCGAAGTGAGTCAAGCCCCTCCAGCCAAACAACAGCGACTAGATTTCAACCGGACTGTTAGCCACAGCCAGGGACAGATCAACAAAGCTATTGCACGGTATGTTGTTGAAAACATGCAGCCTGTTTCTACTGTGGAATCGCCGGCGTTCAGGCAGCTCGTTGGCATGATAACATGTTCAGGCGTCAGCGGCACACAGCAAATGGGACGAAAAACTTTTTCCAACTACTTGGATAAAGAATATTCAAAAATGGAAAGTGAGCTGAAGACGAGATTTGAGGGTGTAGACTTGGAATTAAAGCCTCTTGTGTTTCCCCGTTATTATTCAATTTACGGGACCGGACACCAGTTATCTTGCCAAGAAAGTTTTATTATATATTATATATATGTCAGGAGAGAAACTTCATGATGTTGTGTTCATGCCTGGTCTATGCTTTTCTCCATGTTCCTCTACCCTCTCACCCGGTCATGCCTACATGTTTCTCTGAGGTGGTACAATGTGACATTGAGTTTTTATACATCACACAGTCTTACAGCTTCCTTGTAAGGTAACAAACATGTTGCTCTGAGCCTCTCAACTTAGAACGTAAATGTCATACGTGCGCTACTTTCCTTGTTGTGTACATCTGTGGTACACTTGCATCAGTGGAAACATTTATGCTGAGTGAACATGTTACATGGCACACATACCTCTCTGAGCAATATATAGCTTTCCCCTGACATATGTTCATCTCATGCTTTTAACTCATGCTTTTTGAAACTCCAAAAGGATAATACAGTGATCATGAAAACTAATAAAGAATAATAATACAGATACATAATATTTAATAATGAAATAATATTAAAAGATGAAATTTTAGTCTTCATCTCCCTCCACTGGAACTATGGCGCCATAAGTTCCACACCATCATCCCCAGGTGGCCAACCTATAGAAGTGATAGTGAGGAGAAGAAATAGCAGACCAAGAAAATAGACAGAAAGAACAGAAGAATAGAAACAGAAAAGGAAAAACAAAAACAAAGAACAAAAAGAACAAAACCCCAACCCGTGTTATGTCCCCGTATACTATGTGTGTTTTAATATCTATGTGTATGTATTTAAAATGAACCCCAATCATCTAAGAAAATAAAAAACTAATAATTCTTCTGCTCGTGCCTGGACTCATTAATTAATTAACTCGTAACTAATTAAATCCCCCAGTTCCGAGCCAAAATAAGAAATTAAAATAAACGTTGATGTTAAAGGGTCCTATCCCTTGGGGTTGAGAATCAGTAAGCGGGTGTTCATTGTTTGTGAGGTAATGTTTTGTAAGGAATACATAATAACTTGCAACCATCTTTAATAAATGTCAATGGAATTGATTCCTGAAATGGAAGCAAAGGAATAATTAGCATCACTTCTTTGTTCCCAATCTTTAAAAATAATGGATGAACATT